ATGCAACAAAAAGTGTCTTTTCAACTCACTATTCTTGCTACTAGGCAAATTGTTATCTTGACAAACCTTTCCCAAACACTTCATTTTCCCGATGCACTCTTTTTATCTCTTCCCTTACATACAGTGAAAAACAGATCGCAAAACAGCCACTAAGTAAGGATTTCTATGCCTTCGAAAAGATAATGCATTCTAAGATACAATAAAAGAATGGAAAAGAGGATTTCTTGACGCAGTTCTGTAGCCATTTTACCCAAAATAAAAGAAACATTCACCAACAAAAGGCAGTCAACACATGTATGCATTGTGTACCTATTTTCAAAAAAGAAACAGCTTTTTGAGTTATTTTTTTGTAAAAAAAAATACCTCTTAGTCGGCACGTCGGGGCATGTTATGGATGGGTCAATGGATGAGTGAGTGAGTGAGTGAGTGAGAGATGTATGTATGTCACACCAATCAGATTGGATCTACTATAAACAGCCAATCAAATTTCTTGTTGTAAAGGTAAATAGTATATGACAAGATTTGATCCCGATACAGTTTAGAATGGCCATATTTATTCTTCTATAAAAGAGGAGGAAGTATTCATATATTGGGCTTACTTAGACATTTTCTGTGGGTTAGGCTGAGGAGTTTAGTTATGAACGAAATCAGCCTTGAGTTTTGAAACAGTTCATGAGCTAGTAGTATGCAAATGGAACAAGATATTTTTATTTTTAGTTACAAAGGTAACTTGATACTTTTGTTTTTCACAAGAAGTAAATTCAATTAGAGGTCACAAATAGTCGCTTCTAGTTCTTAGGACATGTTTTAGAGGAGATGTGACTCTAGATTTGAAACAGTTCTAATGTTTACAATAGTAAGTGCAGGTAACGATTGTTTTGTTCTTGTTGCATGCAAATATGAGATATTTTTATTTTTTAGTAACAAAGGGTAATTTGACACTCTTGTTTTTCGCAAGGGATTAAATTCAATTAGAGCTAACGAATCGTCGCGACTTGTTCCCACGAGATGTTTGCTATTTTTAGTTACAAATGGTGACTTAACACTTTTGTTTTTTATAGGGGAGTAAATTTAAGTAGAGCTGACAAGTTATCGGCTATTGTTCCCAGGAAATTAAACAGAAAAATATGCTTTCATTTCTGGATGGTTTTTACGTCTCTGCAGTAGTAGTTTAATATTTTTATTTGATGGGCATTTTATGACATTCTGTTAAAGGTAGAATTATGAAAACTGTTCAAATATTCTTTGAAGACTGCGTAGCACCAAATTAAAGTGCAATTTAATTAAGTCAGACTTCCAACATGTCAGAGAGTTTTTTCGCTTTCTTTCAATTTTCGGTGAAGTAGTGCTGTTGCGTTGTGTTGAGTAAAAAGGGTAAACTTATGACTTGTATAAAATGCAAAAAGTTCTCTTAACTTGAGTATTTTTGAACAAAAATTACTCTTGAGGGTTGGAAGGGCTATGTGATCGGTGAGCGAGTTATGCATGTGCACATGTCACATAAATCACAGTGTGCGTTGTATCAAAGAACAAATCAAATTGCCTGTTAGAAAATAAGATGGTATCTATATTAATCTGGAGACATGTCAGATTGCTGTAGTTTGTTCGGTGAAACATTTTATGGCTTACTATTTAATTATCTTACCATTACTCATGTAACATCGTAGGTACAGCATAAATTCCCAGTTTCTTTCTTGCTGTACATCGCAACCGAAAAAACTTGTCAAATTAACCCAATCATTACTGTAAACATTTTCATGAATGCTGCTATCTCCGAGACTTCACAAAAAATAACTCTTGCACGCCTTGCGTGCCTATGTTTTTCTTCCTCCTGCTTCTTGTACCTGTTCAATGCCTCAACAAGACTTTTTTGTATCTTATCTTTCGCCCAGTCACGTAAAATACATGTATTATCTAAATTAACAAAACTTTCCGACATTTTGAAACACAGAGGGAAAACCTTTGTAATGATGACGTCAGTCGTTCGTCTGTCCTCTAATAGATCATAGGCGAGAACCAATCAAAATGTGAGAATAACTTGGGTTATTATATAAAGGGAAATATAAGACGCTAATTTCGGGAGTGTCCGCTAAATAGAGGGTGTCCACTTAGAGGTTTCACTATACTAAGGTACAATTGCAACCTTTTGTGTTGTTTCTTATTTCGCTTGCCATCGGGTTTGTTTGAAACTCTCCGGACGTTTTTCCATATCGCGACTTGGGCCTGGTTGTTCAAAGCCTGATTAAGGACAGTGCCTACTAAATACAAAGGTTTTTGCGCCAGGTTAGGACCTTGCGGAAAAAGTAGATCTTTGCAAGAGCTATCGGAATCCACAAAGAAAAAAGAGCGTAGCCGCGCATGTTTTCAAGATAATTAGCCTTGAATCTCAACAAAAATGCTGACATCAGCATTTTTCTGAAAATAGAAGGAGAGGATATTTCTTCTCAGCTTTCTTTTGAATTCGCTTTTACATACAGAAAAGCAAACATATTTATAAAGATCTGAAAACTACATGGTAAATGGTAACGTAAAAACCATTTTTGGTATGTTTTTAACAACAAAATCGTTGCAACAGCACTTTAAGCGTCTCTGACAGCCTTCCTCTGTTTCAGCTAAAATACAGTCTAAATATCTTTTGCTCACAACCAGAAACTAATCACCTGCTGAATAGGCTTGCCACT